ATCCCCATGACCACGAATGTCACTGTGGATACGGTTCAAAGCCAGTCTGCACACCATACTGTGTTAATTTTTCTTCTTATCTCAGCTCTCTAAAGAAAATTCTTGATTTATGTATTTCCTTGGATATGTATGCATTTATTAATTCATCCTGGTAGCTAAGCATATCAATACATTTACACTCACTGATTAAAATTAAACTGGCCTTATGGAACATCTCTGGTTTTGTTTGTGATGGGATTGTACTCTGTGGTCCAAGCTGGTCTTGAGGTTGCCTCCTCATGCCTCGTCTCTCCAGGGTGCTAGAGTTACATGTGTGAGCCAACATGCCTAGTTTTCTGTCCAAGCTTTTGAGGTTTGACTTGCTAGTTTTTGTGGTACCCTTTCACAGCCTTCCTGACAGATGCCTTCTCTTTTCCCCTGCCGGACAGCCATTTCCTAGATCCTATGCCTTCTTCTTTCTGAGTTTATCCCCTCGTTTTGGGTGTGTCCACACTCCAGTGGCTTCCTGGGAAAGGGTTCATCGAAAGCAAAACTCTTGGAGCCTTTACACTCGAGATCACCTGATGCTCAGGTTTAACTTAAACTTCAGTTGGGGAGAGAATACTAGAATAGAAAGACTTTTTGCCCAAAATTTTGAAGGCACTAAACGCATGGTCTCCGGCTTCCAGCTTGTTGAGGAGTTTCCTGGTACCCTGACTCTCTGTATGGCTATTCTTCGTGTGAGATGTCATTTTTCTCAGTGCTCAGAGTTAGCTCTCTTCATCCTTATTTTTTAAATTTCATCATGACATATCTAATTTTTATTACTGTATTTTGGGCTCTCTTGGTCAAATTTTGGCTTGAAATATGGTGTCATTTCATTTGAGGAAAATATTTTCAAGTTATACCTCATTCATTTTCTTATCTACCTTTTCTGAGTCCTTTCAGGAAACAATTCAGACATTATACTGCCCGGGCATCTCCGCTGTTTCTCTCACCTTTTATCGCCTCCTTTTCTACTTTCACTTCTCATTTGAAAAATCTCCCTACATTATGTGCTAACATTTTCCTTGATTTTTCTCATTTTCACAATTCAAGTTTTAATACCTAAGGACACACCGCTTATATTTTTCTAAAACCCTTTTTATTCTACCTGTAAACATATTACTCTGGAATGTTGATGGCGGTTTTTTCTTTTTATTCTTCCTCATACTGTCTGCTTTCTCTTGTTGCTGTTTCTCCAATTCTTTTTCCTCTTATCTGAGATCCTGGTAAACTCCATCTCACTAGGAATGGCAGGCACCCCAAAAGCTAAGTCAGAGCCTTTGCCATGTTTAGCTAGTCTGTACTGGAAATTCCCTGCCAACTGGCCTGGTTTACACTTCTTTTGAAGTCTTTATGGTCAGTATTTCAGACTTCTGCTTGGGGTGTGTGTGTGTGTGTGTGTGTGTGTGTGTGTGTGTGTGTGTGTGTGTGTGTATGTAGAATCCAGAGGTCCAGTTGGTTTTTAATCTCACCTGCAATGCAACTTCCAGAGGTAACCCTGATGCCCATTCCTGAATCTCCGTTTGGAAATTCTTTCTTAAAAGACAAGAGAAGGAAGCGGCTTAGCTTTCCCTACGGTCAGCTGAAGATTCTGTCTCAGAACTGGTTCTCACTACTAAATCTTTATCACATTATATAGTCATGTTTAGTTTGCATTTGTAGCTTTGTGCCTTTCGAAACGTGTATTGTCATCTGAGTGGGAGAATTAAGCTAAAAGCTACTGGTCTGCCACCTTTAATTGAACGTCCGGCAGTATCTAGTCACAGTGCCCAAAGGATGTGGTTCATTGTTCAGCAAGAAATTATTTTAAAGTGCGATTTGTGTGAAAGCAGAACTTCAAGAGAAGTGTAATTACAATCATAATTTATATCTTCTCTGGGAGAGGAGTTACATTTTTAAAACTTCTCTAAAGGCCTGGGAACATCTGTTTTTAACCTTAAATTTTGGTTAATGAGTACTTCCTTCTTTTTGTCTGCTCTCTCTTGAGCCTGGCATTGTGGGTCTAGGGCCTTCCAGCCAGCTGCCATTGCTATGCTGAAATGTACCTGTGCCTGGGAGGTTCCTGCAGGTTAGATTTTGCTGCTGAGAAAGCTGCTGTTGCTGGCGCTGAATTTCAATGACTTCCTGCAGGCAAACACCTGGAGGCAATTACCTGTACTTGCCTGCCAGCAGACACACATACAATTTGGATGGGGAAACTATCTGTATGAATTTTAAAAGGGGGAGGGGTAAATTTGCTTTGTGTAATATTTTGCCTGTGTCTAGGTTATCCAGACTAAGAATTTGCCTTTGCCCAATTATGTGTTAGTTAAGCCATTTTTTCCCTCACCATAGAATTGGCAAATGCAGTCTTTGTCTGGCCTTTTTTTTCTGCCTGGTAATAGACTCCTTTCTTTTCTTAGGCTGTGGGACAATAGTAGTGAGGGGAGAAATAAGGAAGGTCAGTGATCTACATTTTAATGTGAAATGACAACATTTTAACTTGACATTCTTTAATAATAGATCTGCCATTCAAAAGAAAAAAATAGGTCAAGGCTGAGGACAGAGTCACATGTAAAGTTGTATCAAACTTTATTGCTAATATTTATGCAGACTTAGTGGTACTTTATATACCTTGATACAGTCTCTGGGGAAAACTGACATGTTGATCATTATTTTAGCTAAGTGCGTCTTCCTTTAGCTAAATCATAAGTGTTTTGAATGTAAATGTTGATTTAAATTACACCTTTGGAAATATCAGCAATATCATTAAAGTATGGGTAGAGTTATCATTACTCTACTGGATGTTGCTAATGGAATGTATTCTATGATTTTGCAGATGAGTGCAATGAGAGCAGATTATGGACTGGTCTTGAATGCAGTCCTGACTTAGTGTGCCTTCAGAGTGTCGCTTCCTTCTGATTTTATTCTATCCAGGGAAAACTGAGGATGACTAACAAGCTCTGAAACTTCCTGTCTTCAGCATAACCAAAACATCACACAGATGGCTTTTTTTTTTTCATCCCTTTCTCATTCCTCTTTCTAGAATCTCAGTTTTATACTTAAGGTATCAGCTTTCATTGTTACAACCCTCACCCCCCCCTCCTCCTACCCTTTCCACCCCGAAGTTGTTAAACACGCCTGCCTGGAGCCTTTTCCTCCCTCTTCATAATTATAACAACCTAGATCCTCCCAGCACACAGTCCAGATTTCTACTATACAGGTTACTAATACATAAAGCTTCTGCTTTTTCCCCAGAGCCCCCTGAGAGCTGTAAATAAATCATACTTTTCTGCAATTTTAGTGTTAAAATTGGCAACTGCATTGCCAAACAAGAACTTGACATTAAGTAAAACAAGACAATGACCAGCAATATCTCACAAAATGAAACCACCATGGTGATTCACTGATGATTTAAAATGTTGTGGCACTTTGTTCCAAGAATTACTGGTTGAGAAAAAAAAATGCCCACTAACACAGGGCAGCTTTAGCATGTAGGTGACATTCTGCACACATGTCACTGCCTCCTTACACACCCATCCCTCATCCCCCACTACCCGATTGCTAGAATTCTAATTGGCCAAGTCTGAAAGCCATCTAAATTTTTCCTTTCTCCTTTCTCCTGAGAGTAAAAGTTTTGAGTAAGGAAGGACTTATCAGTCAGCCTTTGCTGTGTGACAAATAATATCAAAATACAGTAGCCTAAAATCATAATTGTTTGCTTAGCCTACAACAAGGCCGGCCAGTACTGTAAGTGGACTACTCTGGAGCCTTCTGGTCTTTCTACTGGGTTCATTTGTGTATCTAGTTGGCTGTGGGCCCGGCTGGGCCTGGCTGGGCTTGGCTGGACCCGGCTGGGCCTGGCTGGCATAAGGTGGCTCCCCAATAGAAAGGGAGCCTGATTATAATATTGTTTGTCAAAGCCAGTCACGAGACCAGCCAAGTGGAAAAACAGGATCTAGAACTTGATGGGAGGAATTGAAAAATAGTACAAGCAAAAGGCTACGCATTCAATGAGAGAAATACCGGTTTTCAGCTTTAGATCGTCCAGTTTTTAAGCAACCGATCCTGAGTATGAATGACAGGGCTGAGGCAATTGAAAACAATAACAAATTCCTGAAATGAGTTGTTGGTTCAGAAAAAGGCAACCAAGGCGGAGCAAGCAATAAAGGCAATCTCCTTTTCTCACCCACTTCTGTTTACTGAAACAATATGCTGCCCCCCCAAAAAAACAAACAAAAAACTCTAGCCTACATCTCCAGTGTAATTTCCGAGCACATTGTACCTATCACAGAAACATGTAGTAATCACAAGCAAAGACTTAAAATAAGACAAGTGGAATGAAAGTATTCGGATTTCTTACATTTCCCTTGAAGAGAATAAAGACTTTGATAAGTTAGGAATACTTGCTTCTTTTTCCAGACTAACCACCATAAAAGTAATCAAATGAGAACATCACCGTCAAGCTAATGGAGAGGAATCCAGGTGACTCTCTGACTCAGTCCAGAGGAAGGGAGGGCAAAGACAGGAAAAAGGGAGCCGAAGCCGATCAAGCAGTTAATACATCACTCAATGAGATGGAGGTTTTGAAGCAAAATATTAATAGCTACATGAAGTAGGGATGGACTGAATAGCCCAATTAAAAGATAAAGACGCCAGTCTGAATAAAGTGGGGCAGCTTAAATCAGACATATGAAATGAAGCAATAGAGAGATATGCCATACAACTGTCAGCTCCCCCAAACCGGAGTCTTAGACCCTTATCTGCCAAATTAGTCTTTAAAGAAAAGATTTATTCTATATACCAGATGTGAAATGGTACACTTCAATGATAAACTTGTAATTAAGTAGGAAGAAACTACAATTTAAGCTCACCATTCAACATTGCCTCACAATATGTAAAGCAAAGTTAAGCAGACCTCTGAAAAACAGGCTGATCTCCCGCCGTACTAAACCATACTACAAGGGTTTGTTTGCTTGTTTGTTTTGTTTTGTTTTCAGCCTGTCTCTTCATAATAGAACCAGCCAACTAAAAGCCAGGCAGCATGTAGGAAGCTGAACAGTAATGAGAGAGCAGGATTGGATGTGCAAACACCAATGACGTAAGTGCAAGACTCCTTCAAACACACTGGAACACTCACAGGACATGGCAGTGGTCACAAGGTCAGACTTGACACATTTGGATGGAATCTTCTCTGACTCCATGTAAAAATGTTAACAAACCCCTCAAAATATACAAACAAAAACAGAAAGCCTTATATGTTTGCAAACTAGGAAATTAAGAAACAAATCTACTAGATTAGTCCATAATAGCACACTGATCCTGATAACACCAAAAAGGAAGTTAGTTAGAAAATAAAAATAAGGCGTTACATGTTGTCTTAGGTAGGGTTAGTATTGCTGTGATGAAACACCAAGATCAAAGCAAGTTGGGGAGGAAAGGGTTATTTGACTTACACTTTTACATCCAGAGTAGGAATGAAGGAAGGAGGACTATCACTGAAGGAAGTAGGACAGAAATTCAAACAGGACAGGAACTGGGAGCAGGAGCTGATACAGAGCCCATGGAGGAGTACTGCTCACTGGCTTGCTCCCAATTGCTTATTCAGCCTGCTTTCTTACAGAACCCAGGACCATCAGCCAGGGATAGCACTATTTACAATGGGCAGGGCCCTCATCCATCAATCACTAATTGAGAATGCTCTACAGGTTTGCCTACAGTCTGCTCTTACGCAGTTTTGCAATCAAAGTTCTCTCTCAGATGACTATACTTTGGTCAAATTGACATAAAACTAGCCAGGATACATATCAACTTATACATATGGTTAACCTGGCACATAGTGCAGTGTGTCTTCAAATACTCTAATTAAATGAGAGAGACAGATATCAATCAATTAAATAAAAACATCTTATAAAGAGGAAGTGAAATAAAAGGTAGATTAATAGAAACAGCATAAAGAATATTAACAAAGCCAAAAATAATTCCTTTAAAAATAAATCAAAGGTAGAAATAATATCAGTAAGGCAAGAATCATACAGCGTACCATAGCTTATCTTGAAAATGACAATTGTAATAACATTAATGGAAACAATTCAATGCTTTTGAAAGTGTTGGCAAAATGTCCTAATTTCTAGAGAAAAAAAAATAAATTTAAGAAGACATAGACATGTACAGTCTTTTGTCTTAAAGGAAACAGAACCCATAGTTTAAAATCTGTTGCATAAATAAAACCCCAGGTTATTTAAAGAGATAACACTAGTCTTATCAAACTTTTAAAAAGAGCAGAAAAAGGGACTATTTCTCACTTAATGAGGCCCTAAGAACCTCAATCCCCTCCACCATAAGAGAGAACAATAAAAAGAATAGGAAAATAAAATTATAAGCCAGCCTAATCCACACTGATGAATATATGTTCACCCTTCATGAAATTGAAGTGTGTGTGGAACATGTATATTCCAAATATTTAGCAAAAAAAATATTAAAAGCTGTTCATATTGGGAAGTTCTAGAGAGAGGTGGAGGAAAAGCTGTTCAGCACAAGAAACATCTAGAAAAAAGTGGTAAATATCATATATGAAGAAGAAAGAGAACTGGATGGATGGGTGATGTTATTCTGTAGGCTGTGAAAATGTGTTGCTCTGATTGGTTGATAAATAAAGCTGTTTGGCCAATGGTGAGACAGAATAAGGTTAGGCGGGACATTCAAAAGAGAGACAGAGGGAAGAAGAGAGAGCAGGGGAGACACTGCTAGCCGCTCCCAGAAGCAGCAAGATATAAAGGTACCAGTAAGCCATGAGCCTCGTAGCAAAGTATTGATTTATAGAAGTGGGTTAATTTAAGATATAAGAACTAGATAACAAGAAGCCTGCCATGGGCATAGTTTAAGAATTAAGATTAGCCTGTATGTGTTTATTTGGGTCCTAGCGGTTGCCTGACTGGCAGGTGAGAGAGATTTGTCCTGATCGTGGGCCAGGTGGGACACAGGAAAACTTTCAGCTACACTGGATGACAGCAACAAGTGAAATCTTGTTATATCAGAATTCCAGTACACACAGCTAGGCATGTGGTATATGATTATAACCCTAGCACATGGGCTAAGGCAGGAGGAATCTGAGTTGAGTGCCACCCTGGGCTATATAATGATCCCAGTAAATCAAATGAATAAATAATAAAAAAAAAATGGGTGTTTTATATCCAATGCTAAAACCAAAGAAGAATGACTCCCAAACTGGATTAAACCTAAGTCTTTGTTTTGCTAGCTGCAAGACGTCTCAAGGAAAAATAAAAATAAGATAAAGATTAATTTAATTTTGGAAATATTGTTTGTCTATAAAAGGTGATGAGACAGAAGTTTTCAAACTTGTCTGGTGGAAGAGCCATAAGGCAGGAACCGGAAGTGAAAACAATACTGTTTGCCAAAGGCTGAGGTGAGCTTGGAGACGCGGGGGCGGCGGCGGCGGCGGCGGCGGCAGTGGTGGCGCACGCCTTTAATCCCAGCACTCGGGAGGCAGAGGCAGGCGGATCTCTGTGAGTTCGAGGCCAGCCTGGTCTCCAAACTGAGTTCCAAGAAAGGCGCAAAGCTACACAGAGAAACCCTGTCTAGAAAAAAAAAAATGGTGGAACTGTCATGAAATTGGACTGTGTTAGCCGCACAGCTCTGTGTGTACACCAAGGCTGAGTGGAAGTGGGAAGCGCATCACACAGACATTACAGAGGGCCAGAGCTCACATTGCTAATAGGGACACATCAAAAACGGAAGTGTAATTACTACTCAGAGTGGACTGAACTCACCATTGTCAAACTTGTAAGTCAAACCATTGCATGATGGGGGCTGTCTGCCCGTTCCTCCCTAATGTCTAGACGCTTTTTTGTTTGTTATTTTTCAAGACAGAGTTTCTACGTGTATTCCTGGCTGTTCAGGAACTCACTCTGTAGACCAGGCTGGCCTAGAACTCAGAGATCCACCTTAGGCTCCACCTTTAAAAACATCCCAAAGCCTTACCCTACATTAGAAAAGCTGAACCAAACAGAAGGCAGTGAATTGATCAGGGCGCTCCGAAAACACCTCAGGGCTCTGAAATATGGATGTTTTTCTCATGGAATGCTAGGGAGGTTTGCATCTTGGCATCACATTGCCCTCAGTCTGTGACTCAGGTTTTTCTCAGTGGAAGGTCATTGGTCTCCGTGGCAGGAAGAAAGGGAACTCTGGAAGGGAGGGCTTTGTCAAAGCCTGGCTGGGATATGTATCTTCATGTTAAATTACCTTTTGTTAGAATAATCCACAGGTACAGTGCATTCAACTGTTGAAAAGACACCCCAACTCTGACCCCTGCCACCCCTATTTGTGATATGAATATTCATTCATCCTGTCCTGTGGACACTGGGCTTGGTGTTCTGACTTTGTTTGGCTAGATAAATGGGGGCATAAATGGGTGTGGTTTGGAATGGATGGCTTGCTATCTTTTTCATGATGCCATGCCACCAGGGAACCACAGCAGCTTTACCTTAGACCCCAGGATTGTCCTGACATCTAAACCAAGTATGCCTCAGATTATCTGTGCATTTGTTAGGGAGAAAAAAAAATCTCACTGGGTCTATCAGGGTGTCCCCCATTGTCACGTATGTTACAGACTTGTGTTGTGCACAGCAGGCACTTTATCCATAGCGTGTAACTTAAAAAAACAAAAACTTTACACTTTATATAGCTTAAAGAACATCTCATTTAGCTCCATTTAAAGGGTATTTGTTTAGAAAACTCTTAAATACATTTCTAAAAGAAAAGAACTTTCAAATCTTTATTGAAAATGAAAGCTATTCATGATAATTCCCCAACCTCGTCTCATTTCACAGAATTGTGATTTTAAGTAGTTGAGTATGAATAACATTTAGCTAAATATAATATAGACTAAGTATGTCCCAAACACTGAAGACCAAGAAGATCCATACTTAATATTTGCAAATTATGTCTTTTTGATAAAAGAGCTTTTGTCATATGCTACTGATATTTTGTTGTTACACAGCAAAGCTTGACTGATACAGTAATCGTTTCATAGGTACCAGTGAAGTCAGAGCAAGTTAGTTCTAATAGCCAGGTAACACATCAATACTTTGCCATTAACAAAGTTGAGAAATGAATTAGCATTATCAAGATAGGCTCAAACTGCTCTCCTCCCTGGGTACCTCCTCAGTTTGTGATCTAGAAGTGTCTAATCAGATCAGCAACATTGCTGCTGCAGAACTTCCATCATTCTGTAGAAGAACAAGGCTTCTCAGGGCTTACATTTATCAATGTGGAGTAGATGGGCACAATAGGCATGAGTTCTGTCTTATTCAAATGGTGTTTGGTTATATACACATCCAAGTGATGTGACCCCATTCACGTCATCATGCTTCATTTCTAATCACTGAGTTTTGTGTAGTAATTATTTATAAAATTTTGTGACATGGTTATGTTGTTTTGACTAATTATGTACTAGCAATAGCAATAATAGTTCTATCCAAGAGGCAATTGACACATAAAGCCTTATGTTCACTGATAATTAAAAAAAATAGCTTTCAGTTCATATGCTTATCTTGTTATAGAAAAATTATTTCCATAGTTTTGTAAAAAAAATAGTAAATATCAAAAAGAATATTAGGGAAGATTGTTTGAAGTAGAATGGGGGTAGATACTGAGAAACAAAATGGGATAAAATATAATTTTTGACTATTTAAAAAGTGACTCATAGTTTCAAGAGTAGTTGGAGGCTGATATTAAATTACTATGGTATTGTGATGTCATTGGTGAAACCTAAAGATAACTTTTAATATCACTAGTATATTACTGAATACACAATCAATCTTTATAAACTTATTGGTTTGTATTTGTATTCTTGTTTTTTTTAGAAGCATCTTGAAATTTGTATTACTTTGAGCACTTTTTTTTCTAATTTTATAATTCAATTTAATTTTACATATCAGCCATAAATTCCCCTGTCCTCCCTCCCCCCCCAACCCCCCCAATCCACCCCCCATTCCCATCTCCTCCAGGGCAAGGACTCCCCTGGGGATTCAGCTCAGCCTGGTAGATTCAGTCGAGGCAGGTCCAGTCCTCTCCTCCCTTTACCCAGGCTGAGCAAAGTGTCCCTGCATAGGCCCCCAAGCTCCAAAAAGCCAGCTCATGCACTAAGGACAGGTCCCAGTCCCACTGCCTGGGGGCCTCCCAAACAGTTCAAGCTAATCGACCGTCTCACTTATCCAGAGGGCCTGATCCAATTGGGGGCTCCTTAGCTATTGGTTCATAATTCATGTGTTTCCACTAGTTTGGCTATTTGTCCCTGTGCTTTTTCCAATCATGGTCTCAACATCTCTCACTCATACAGTCCCTCCTCTTTCTCGCCGATTGGACTCCTGGAACTCCACCTGGGGCTTGGCTGTGGATCTCTGCATCCACTTCCATCAGTCATTGAATGAGAGTTCTACCACGACAGTTAGGGTGTTTGGCTATCTGATCACCAGAGTAGGTCAGTTTGGGCTTTCTCTTGACCATTGCCAGTAGTCTATTGTGGAGGTATCTTTGTGGATTTTTGGGGACTTCTCTAGCACTTTGCTTCTTCCTATTCCCATGGGGTCTTCATTTATCATCATCTCTCTTTCCTTGTTCTCCCTCTCTGTTCTTGATCCAGCTGGGATTTCCCACTCCCCTAAGCTCTTTTTCCCTCGACCCTTGCCTTTCATTTCCCCCACTCACATCCAGGTTATTCATGTAGATCTCATCCATTTCTCTGTCATTGGGCAATCCCTGTGTCTTTCTTGGGGTCCTGTTTTCTAGGTAGCCTCCCTGGAGTTGTGAGTAGCATTCTAGTCATCCTTTGTTTTACATCTAGTATCTACCTATGAGAGAGTACATACTATGTTTGTCTTTCTGAGTCTGGGTTATCTCACTCAGGGTGATTTTTTTTTCTAGATCCATCCATTTGCCTGCAAACCTCATGGTGTCATTGTTTTTCTCTGCTGAGTAGTTCTCCATTGTGTATATGTACCACATTTTATTTATCCATTCTTCAGTTGAAGGGCATCTAGGTTGTTTCCAGGTTCTGGCTATTACAAACAATGCTGAATATATAAAGAACTCAAGGAATTAGACATCAAAATGCCCAACAGTCCAATTAAGAAATGGACTATAGAGCTAAACAGAGAATTCTCAACAGAGGAAGCTCAAATGGCTAAAAGACATTTAAGGAATTGCTAAACACCCCTAGTCATCAGGGAAATGCAAATCAAAATGACTCTGAGATACCAACTTACACCCGTCAGAATGGCTAAGATCAAAAACACTGAAGACAGCTTATGCTGGAGAGGGTGTAGAGCAAGGGGAACTCTCCTCCACTGTTGGTGGGAATGCAAGCTTGTACAGCCACTTTGGAAAATCAATATGGCGCTTTCTTAGAAAACTGGGAATCAATCTCCCCAAGACCCAGCTATAACACTCTTGGGCATATACCCAAGGAATGCTCAGTCATACCACAAGGGCACATGCTCAGTGATGTTCATAGCAGCACTGTATTTGTATTCTTACACATGTGCACTTGTATACATATGCAGAGATATACATATACATTGATGTTAAGTGTCTTTATCACCTGCTCTCTACCTTAATTTGTGAGTTAGGATCCTTCACTGAACCTGGAGCTCATGCATTTGGCTAGACTGACTGGCCAGGGAGCTTCAGGGAGCTTCCTGTTTCTACCCCCTACCTCCAGTGTGGGATTACCCATATATGCCACTGCACCTAGAAGCTTTGATTGAAATGATGAGCTGCAAATCCTGATGAAGAAATGGGGACCCTTATTGGTAGATAGGGACATAAAATAATGTAGCTGGTATGGAAATTTCTCCAAAAATTAACTACCATATGACCCCAGCAATTCTGCTACTAAGTAATTACCAGAAGGTAATGAAGTCAGCACATCAGAGGTGTCTGCCCTCCTGTATTCATTGTATCACCATTCAAAACAGCCAACATGTGGAATCAACCTATGCTGATAGATGAATATATAAGTAGAATATGATAAAAACACACACACACACACACACACAGAGAGAGAGAGAGAGACAGAGAGAGAGAGAGAGAGAGAATATTATTCAGCCATTAGAAAGGACACTATCTTGTCATTTGAGGCAACTTAGATGGGCCTGAAAGGCTCCATGTTAAACAAAATGAGGTAGGCACAGAATGACCAATACTGCATGAACTTACTTAATAGAATCTCAAAAAGCTGATACCATTGATGTAGGGAACAGAATTAAGGTTGCTTGGTTTTGGTATGCTGTCTTAGTTTCTTTTCCTGTTGCTGTTTTAAATATTCTGACAAGAGCAGCTTGGAAGAAAGGGTTGATTTTGGCTCATTGTTCCTGGGTACAGTCCATCATAGTGGGGAAATCAAGG